GTCAGGTAATCCACTTATAAGTATTTTTCCCACATGCCTCAGACGGAGAGAGACGGACAGATTCTAGATGTGTGAAGGGCTTCGAACTTTTATCTGCAAAGAACAAAAGATTTTAGAAGACCCCGTAAACTATTTGTTTCCATAGCAGAGTGATCAAGGGGTCGAGCTGTATTGGCACAGAGACTTTCAAAATGGATATGAGCTAGTTGTTACCAACTAGCTCATATCTCCCCCTCGCGCACACACACACCTGAGGGACTCATTCCATTAGAGGGCAAGCTACTTAGACTGCATAGCTGAGAGATTTACCTCTCCTAGAGATGTATAGGGCAGCTACTTGGAACTCTTTGCATACCTTCACAAGATATTACACTCTGTTCCTGTCGTCAACTGTGTATATAGCTGTGGGGACAGCAGTGCTTACAATCAGCCATCACTTCTGTGTCCTCGTACCCACCCCCTGTTGACTGTTGCTTGTTAATCTCCCGCATGTGGAATACACATAGTGACCTTAACTCGAAGAAGAAATGGAGGTTTCTTATCTGTAACTGTGGACATTCTTTGAGGTATGTGGTCCCTATCTGTATTCCAGTACACACCCTCCATCCCCTCTGCTGCGGATTGTTTGAACAGTGGTAAGGTTGGAAACTGGAGAGGCATTGGCCCACGCCATCTTTTATGCCCTTGGTTCGGAGCATGAGGAGAGCTATGGTGCACATGTGGGCCCATGGACACTATTTGCAAAATATTCTGAACTCGGACTCATGGTGCACATGCGTATCCCACCTGTGAAATACAGATAGGGCCCACACATCTCAAAGAACCTCCAGTTACAGATAAGTAACCTCAATTTTTGTGGTGCAACCTAAAGAATGTTCAGTACCTTATCTAAGGCCTTGGCTACACTTGCAAGTTACAGCGCTGTAAAGGCTCCCCCAGCACTGTAACTCACTCCCCGTCCACACTGGCAAGGCATTTGCAGCGCTGTATCTCCGTGGTTGCAGCGCTGCATGTACTCCACCTCTCCGAGAGGAATAGCAAGTATTGCGCTGCAGCGCTGCGGCGCCAGTGTGGCCGCCCAATGCGCTGTGAATGGCCTCCAGAATTATTCGGCAGTATCCCACAATTCCTGTTCTAGCCACTCTGGTCATCAGTTCAAACTCTACTGCCCTGGCCTCAGGTAACCAACCATGTGACCGACCCTTTACATTCCCTGGGAATTTTAAAAATCCCCTTCCTGTTTGCTCAGCCCGGCATGGTATGGAGTGCTATCAGCGAATCTTTCCAGGTGACCATGCCTCCACGCACCAAGCGAGCCCCAGCATGGAGCAATGGCGAGTTGCTGGGTCTCATCAGTGTTTGGGGGGAGGAAGCTGTACAGTCCCAGCTGCGCTCCAGTCATAGGAATTATGATACCTTCAGGTATCAAAGGACATGATGGAAAGGGGCCATGACCGGGACGCCCTGCAGTGCAGGATTAAAGTGAAGGAGCTGCGGAGTGCTTACCGCAAAGCCCGCGACGCAAACGGCCACTCGGGTGCTCCCCCCGCGACCTGCCGATTCTACAAAGAGCTGGATGCGATACTTGGGGTTAATCCCACCTCCACTCCAAGCACCACCATATGGACACTTCAGAGCCGGTGGGGGGGGGGAGGGGAGGAAGAGGAGGAGGAAAACGGGAGTGATGGTGGTGGGCCGGATGGAGACACCCCGGAATCCCTGGAGCCATGCAGCCAGGAGCTCTTCTCGAGCCAGGAGGAAGGTAGCCAGTCGCAGCGGCCGGTACTTGGTGGAGGACAAACAGAAGAGCAGGTTCCCGGTAAGCTATTTTTTTTTTTTTGGGAAGGAATTTTTTCGGTGCGGGCTCTTTGGGAGAGGAGGGTTAGGCATGCATGCCTAGATGCGGAATAGTGCATTGTTGTGGTTTATCACATCGCGGTAATCGCCTCGGTAATCTCCTCGAATGTCTCATCCAGAACGTGTGCAATGCGCTTGCACAGGTTTATCGGGAGAGCCACCGTGGTCCTTGTCCCAGCCAGGCTAACGTGTCCGCGCCACTGTGCCGCGAGGGGCGGGGGGACCATTGCTGCACACAGGCAAGCTGCATATGGGCCAGGGCGGAAGCCGCATTGCAGTAGAAGACCCTCCCTTGCTTCCCAGGTCACCCTCAGCAGCGAGGTATCGTCCAGGACGAACTCCTGTGGAAAATGTTGGGACAGCGTTCAGTGTAGGTGCCCCCTGAAGCTGTTGGCTCTCCCCAAGGCACAGAAAACCAGAGGACAGTGCAGCCCTGAAACAATCAGTCCCCCTTACTCACCATTTTGAGGCTCCCGTGGGATATGTGTGTTCTGTTTCGGACGGGAAAATTATGCTATTGTGTAGACCCTCTGTGTTTTCTACTCCTTAAGTGCGGGGGGAATCATTACTCTGTCTGGTATAAACAATGCTGCCTCTGTTAAATGTTGCATTTTGCCTATACAGCTGCATCAACCTTGAGACCTCAGCCGTCCCTCTTATCACCTGCTCAGAGACTGCAAAGACTCAGGAAGAGACCGCGAAAAAGCAAAGAAGACATGCTGCAAGAAGTGATGTGGTAATCTATTAAAGAGAATGAGAAAGCACAGGACTGGAGGGAGAGAGAAAGCAGGATCCGCCAGGAAAATGCAGCGCACCGGCGGCAAAGCACCGCGCACCGGCAGCAAAGCACAGATAGGCTCATAAGCATCCTGGAGCGCCAAGCAGATGCTATCCAGGAGCTGGTAGCCATGCAGAAAGAGGAGCAGTACCGCAAATGCAAACGCCACCCCCCCCCTACAGCCCTTGTCCCAAAACTCTTTCCGTTGTGCCCCACTGTCACCTCCAACCCACTTTCCCCAACTTCCGTGTTCTTCACGCCACCCGCTGCCTCCAACACCAATATCTTCACCACCCAGCCCTGAAAACCACGAGCCTTACCCTCTGCACTCAACCCCCATCACCATGCAGTATAGCTGTCCTGAAGTGCAGCACTCACTGCACAGCACAGCAGACAGGACATACGCGAATCTGTGATTGTACTGTTCCCCACTCCACCCCCTTGTTTCTTTTCAATAAATAATTTTTTTTTCTTTTCAATAAATGGATTCTTTGGCTTTGAAAACATTCTTTATTATTGCATAAAGTAAAAGACTCCTTAGCCCAGGAAATAAACAGGCACTGCAAGTCTGCTTGTCTGCTAAGCAGACACTGATTCCTAAAGATTGGAACTACTGCACTTCACTCCCGTGCAGGGCACCAGATATCACTGCTGGTTTTCAGCCTCAAATTGCTCCCTCAAGGCATCCCTAATCCTTGCAGCCCCGCGCTGGGCCCCTGTAATAGCCTTGCTCTCTGGCTGTGCAAATTCAGCCTCCAGGTGTTGAACCTCGGAGGTCCATGCCTGAGTGAAGCTTTCACCCTTCCTTTCACAAATATTATGGAGGGCACAGCATGTGGATATAACCACGGGGATGCTGTTTTCGGCCAAGTCCAGCTTCCCATACAGAGATCGCCAGCTGCCCTTTAAACGGCCAAAGGCACACACCACAGTCATTCGGCACCGGCTCAGTCTGTAGTTGAACCGTTCCTTGCTGCTGTCAAGGCTCCCTGTGTAGGGTTTCATGAGCCGCGGCATTAACGGGTAAGCGGGATCTCCAAGGATCACAATGGGCATTTCAACTTCCCCTACCATGATCTTCCGCTCTGGGAAAAAAGTCCCGGCCTGCATCTTCCTGAACAGCCAAGTGTTCCAAAAGATGCGTGCGTCATGCACCTTTCCGGGCCAGCCTGTGTTAATGTCAATGAAACGCCCACGGTGATCCACAAGCGCCTGGAGAACCATAGAGAAATACCCCTTCCGATTAACGTACTCGGATCCTAGGTGGGGTGGTGCCAGAATAGGAATGTGCGTCCCATCTATCGCTCCTCCACAGTTAGGGAACCACATTTGTGCAAAGCCATCCACTATTTCCTGCACGTTACCCAGAGTCACGGTTCTTCTGAGTAGGATGCGATTAATGGCCTTGCAAACTTGCATCAACACGATTCCAACGGTCGACTTTCCCACTCCAAACTGGTTTGAGACCGACCAGTAGCTGTCTGGAGTTGCCAGCTTCCAGATTGCAATAGCCATCCGCTTCTCCACTGGCAGGGCAGCTCTCCATCTCGTGTCCTTGCGCCGCAGGGTGGGGGCAAGCTCCTCACACAGTCCCACGAAAGTGCCTTTTCTCATCCAAAAGTTCTGCAGCCACTGCTTGTCATCCCAGACTTCCATGACGATGTGATCCCACCACTCGGTGCTTGTTTCCCGAGCCCAAAAGCGGCGTTCCACGGTGCTGAGCATGTCTGAGAATGCCACAAGCAATTTCATGTCGTACGCATTACGCGGCTCGATAGCATCGTCTGACTCCTCACCCTCACTCTCACTCTCACTGTCACTTTGGATCTTAAGGAATAGTTCAACAGCCAAACGTGACGTGCTGGCAAGACTCGTCAGCATACGCTTCAGCAGTTTAGACTTCATTTCCCGCAGACAGATCGCGCTGCACAGAAACCGTTGAAAGATGGTGCCAAAGGTGGACGGAAACAAAGGGATTTCTGGGATGCGAAGCGATGCATCACGGGGCATTGGGACAGGACCCAGAATCCCCCGCACCCACACCCCCTTCCCACAACCCACGGCGCCAGAATGGGAAAAGGTGCTCTGTGGGATAGCTGCCCATAATGCACCGCTCCCAATAGTGCTGCAATTGCCGCAAATGTGGCCACGACAGTGCGCTGGGCAGCTGTCAGTGTGGACAGACTGTAGCGCTTTCCCTACTCAGCTGCACGAAGTCAGGTTTAACTCACAGCGCTGACATCTGCAAGTGTAGCCAAGGCCTAACATTTGAGATAGACTGACTCTTTAGAAAGGAGTAATTATTTCTCTGTTTTGTATTTGCAAGTGATTGGATATGTTTCTTCTGTGTGTTATACTACTTTAGTCTGCTAAAGCCATTTCATTCTTCATTCATTCTAAAAGGATGTTCCAACAGCTGAAATGTATTGTGCAGAGTGTAACATTTAATCACCTTCATCAGTGGCTTCAGTTTATTTTTACTTGGCTCTTCAACCCTCAGCTGTCTACTAACTGTTTAAGTACCAAACCAGAAAGGGAAGGCCAAGTGACACCTCCCAGGCATTAAGCTGATAGTACTGTCATTAGATGAAACACTTCCTACATATAATATAAGCGCAGCCCCAGTCAGCACTTATTGTGACTGCATCACAGCCAAAGTAATGCTGAATTTCCCTATGCTTTAGAGGAATGCAGGGGAATTGTGGACTGAGAATTAAAGACATTGGAGATGTCAGCCTCTCGTCTATCTTTTTTTTTTTTTTTAATGAGTGTTTCATATCAGTCTGCTTCTAAAGTTTCTGAAACTATTTGCCAAACCACCTCTTTTCAGGTCTCCTGCAAGCGCAGAATCTCTTAACGCAACTACCTCAGCAAAGCCAAGCCAACCTCCTGCAGTCTCAGCCAAGCATCACCCTCACCTCACAGGTCAGTTTTCCTCCTGCAGCTTTTCAGCAGTTCTTTGGGGGACTCAAACTACTGTGCAAGAGGGGCACATATATATTTGTTTTAAGAATGGAAGTTAAACTACTTAGTCTTCTCAGTTTTCTAGATGACAACAATACAACAGAAGTGCCAGCTGCAGTGATAGTTATCTTCATATTAAGACTGCATAATAGTTTCCCTTCAGATTTCCCTGTTTTCATTCACTCATAATTTACCAAAACTTTTACTCTTTGGACTGAAATTTTCCATGCTTGGCCTTTTCCTAAAGGTGGAAGTTTTTAGTAGTTTGAACAAAAATGGTTGAGTCAATTTTGAGTACAAGTAGAGTGGTGGAACAATACCCTTTTCCCATTATATTAAACATTTTTGCAACCTTGTTTTTAATAGATTTAAAACCTAAGGGCTACATATTGATATTTGGCATGGAAATAGCCCTCATTGAGTAAAAGTGCCTTGAACCGTTCTAGTGAAAAATATTTTTGATTTGACTAAATTATAAGACTGAAGACTTCATGTTATATAGTTAGAATAATTTTTGCATATACTTTACACAGCTAAAAGAGGCTATGCTATTCAGGAGTGTGCAGTTAATTTAGCTGCTTACTTGGCAGATGTGTGGGGTTTAAGGCAACATGTCCATAGGAACATTAGCATCAATTCCTCCACTTCTTTATAAGGTTCTCAGAGTTCCTAAAACTTGTAGGAAAAGGGCTGAGGGCTTCCTAAAGTGTGCAAGAGAGGGTTTCTCCTGGAAGTTTTCCAAAGATCCTGGGGCAAAGTGGTCTGTTTTCTAGCCAAAGAATTCTATATTGTTGCCAATCTTTTGCAAGTCAGCAGAAGAGTAAAGCTAATTTTTAGCTGTTTTTCCATTATTTATTTCTTTAAAAAAAAAAAGAAGAAAAACATTTAAAAAATTGTTTTAAGAGCCTATTCAAGCTCTACGGTTAAGCTTTCAAAACTCTGGAAAAGTAATGTTAAAGTGCCTGCAGCTTTAACTCTGCTTGCTTGTGTTTGTGCGTTACAATAGTCTCTAATTATATGATCACATATTATTTCTGAAATAACAGAATAACTATCACTTTTTTCTTTTAACGCAGGTAGTATTTTGTAGCACATACTATTGCATCTGTTACAGTCTGTGAAAGTCCCATATATGAAAAGTACATAGTAACTGTACTTGTATTGCTTACTACATTTTCTATATACAATGCAGAATAGTGGAAATTAGCTATTCTAGTTCACAGCTTGGGGAGCTTCACGTGTCCCTAACAAAGATTTGCTCTAATATGTAACATAGGGAAAAAAAGAACTTCAATAAAAATTGAAGTCAGACATGTTTGTATAGTCCAATATAGCTTAAGTAAGTTTAAAATACTGAAAAGAAAAAAAAAAGTGTGCGACATATGTATCTACACTTCTTGAAAAGATTGTATATTATCTGAGCAATAATACGTAATTGTGTAATTAAAGACAGTGGGCTAAATCCTCTCTCCTCCCCCCTCCCCCCCCCCGAACCACCTGCTCTGCATTGCAGAATATCACTAGCGCTAACCCAAGTAGAAAGCCACCTTAGTGAGCCAGTTGGAGGTTCAGTTTTGTAGGAGATATGGCTGTAGCACTGAAGTGCTATGGAATGGCCATTTGGGGGCTATTACCAACCAGTGCAATTTAGAGCGATATTGAGGCTTCTCTGTGTTGCACTGGGGGCATAAACAGCATCAGAATTGGGCCGAGGGCATAAAATGGCATAAAACCATCTTTGCCCAAGCCCCTCAGCTGCACTGAACAGAATTTGGCCAAAGAAGAGGATTCAGCTCTGCATTTTAACAATGCATACACCGAAGGAGGTGGAGTAAAGCACCCAAACTTCTGGAAATTCCAACATTCAGATTGTGTGCAAAACCTTAACTGTGCAACCCTGATGTTCTCTTAATATATTTTGATTGTGTGAAACCTAGCCTGAGTGTGGTTTCCATAGCGCACAGACATATCTCAGGCTCTTACTGAGGCCCTGTATTCCTACTTTTATATTGGGAAATAATCTTTATAGCCTAATTGTCAGGAATAGCAAACTTTTCAGTAGTTTCCTAGGAAACTATCTGGTTATGCTGGGAAAATCAGAGACCTAAAAGAAATTCCTTTCTGCGAGTTGTTTTTTATTTATTTTTTTAAGAGGAATTATTGCCATATAATGTCACCATTTATAAATACTCTTCTTGTGAGCAGTCTCAGCAGAGGTGCCAAGGAGAACAAACTTCTCCCCTCCCCAACCCCCCTCCCCAAAGTGGTCCCTCCAGGTCAAGGTTGTGTCACAGTCACAAGGGGAAATGTTAGGGATATTTGTGCTGCTGCTGCCTTTGCTGAGCTTGTTCTGAGGAAAAATAGAGGACTTGAGTCTGTAGAGATGTCAACTTGATACTGCACCCACAGTAAATTGAATTTTAAAATAATTAAAGGGGATGAATGCCAAACTCTCCAAAAGTATTGAAATGTATTAAGAGTAATGTTGAACTGTTCTTGGAGCAGGTAGAAGGCATTGGTAAACCGGTACAGTGTATCTTTTGTTTTTCCTTGGCTGGTTTTGACAGAGTCCTTCTTGAAAGACTGTATACTAATACAGTACAGTGGATTGTGATGGCCTTTATTTGACCAATGTCAATAAATTTGAGAGCACTTTGGGATTTATTAGAAATGGTAGATATATTAGTATCTAACCTGTCTCCTGTGGGAATCTGGACTCCCGAGTGAGATTTATTTCCACTATTTCGTGTTTAAAAAAAAATCTTTTCGTTTGTTTTTTTTCCTCTTCCTGTCTCCTGCCCTCAACAGCCAGCAACCCCAACACGCACAATAGCAGCAACCCCCATTCAGCCACTTCCACAGAGCCAATCAACACCAAAGCGAATTGACACTCCCAGCTTGGAGGAGCCCAGTGACCTTGAGGAGCTTGAGCAGTTTGCCAAGACTTTCAAACAAAGACGGATCAAACTTGGATTCACTCAGGTAAAATTGAGTAACACTATACCTCCCAGTATAGGGTTAAATCAGTTTTCAGATCTGGAGAGAGGGGACAATAGCACCCCCTCTTAGCAGTGCCTTCTTAAATAGAATTAAGTTCTTGTCTTTCCCTTCTGTATGAGGGTTCTAGGAAAGAACAGAAAAGGCCATACACATCTTACTTGCTCCCTTGTTGGTTTTAAAAGGTAGCCATTTTCCCAGCAGGTGCATGCATTTACCAGCTCAGGCTGTCATTGAATGTGCTCTGTTCGGCCTAGAAGATTTAAAAAGAATAGGTCAAAACACTTTAAAAGCTGCCCTCAGAAATGCAACCTCTAAAGTCATATAGCACACTGCACCGTTCTAAGTGTTTAAAGCTGCTTTAAATGTTGAAGGATTTTATCATTTGAACTAATTTTCCTATTAAATATTAGTGATTCTGTATTTGAGGTTTAAGGCTTGCAAGGATCGGCAAATGAGAACTCAAATGGCAGAGGAGAAATCTTAAAAGATGATTCAGAAACAAGTTTTGAAAAGACAGGTTGAATAAGAAAATAATAAACTTGAAGAAAGCATATGAGGTTTGATCACCACTCTGGAATAGTGTCCACATTGAATACTCTGAAGACAAGCTTATCAATCATCTTTCTTTCACCAAGTTCATATGTAAACAATTGATGATCAGGAAGGAACTGTTTTAGGGTTAGAGCAAAGAAGTAGGTGCCCGGACTCCTGAGTTCTTAAAAACCCACCTTAAAAAACAAAACAAAACCCACTTTTGCCTTTAAGTATTTAGCAGTGTTTAAGTGAAGATAGAGCAAAATTAAGGGAAAGCAACTTCCACCTTATAGGGCTCATCAGAGCAAAGGTTCACTTGTCTGCTTACCTAAAGCCTGATGGTGAAATCCATTAGGTGGGTGGAGTCAGAGCACAAGAACCCATCAGGGTGAGGCTGAAGAAAGTAATTTTGAATATATTGAATATGTTTGGATGAAAGGTGCTATTAGTAGTGCAAAGTATGATTATATGTTCTATTTTCTTGTTGCTAAGTGACACTGTGCTTGGATCCAGGAGTTCCTTCTTGAAAATATCAAAATTAAATGTTTTTTCCCCTTAAAAATTAAAATCCTCTGTCCCTATCAACAAGTCTGGTAGCACGCTGTTAAATATTAGCATGTTTTGCTAGAGGAAGGAGCAAACAAAAATCAGAAGTCTGAATTCAAAGCAGCCAATCCAATTTTTTGTGAATTCAGAATAAGTGAACCCGCTGTAGCTGAAAGCATATGTCCAAGGTCAGATTTATTTTTCCGACAACATTCTAAATGCCTGAAAAATCAGGGTTCATAATACAAGTTCCTGCCAGAATCTTCATTACCGCACAAGAACAGGTTGTTCTTCGTAAGATGAAGAGTGTTTTGTTGGCATGAGCATACTTCAGTCTCTCCCTCATGAGGTGAAGGAGTTACTCAGATATTATGGTGATAAGCATGGTATAAGAACCTATATTGAATAGAATAGCTTCTGTTGCTTGACCGAGGATTTCTAGTTTGTGCTCATCAGAATTGTGACAATTAGCCTGCCTTGCTGTGTCATTGTGAAATGATTATGCAGCAGAAACCAGGATTTTTAAGTTAAGGGTTAACTCTCCTTACTGACACTGTCCTGAATTTGTACTGTGGAGGAAAAAGCAGACACAATAACTCAAGGATTCTAGATCAGCCCTGGCTTTTGAGCTTAGTATCACAATTCCAGTATAATACAAAGGCAGCTCTTTGTATTAAATTTCCCTTTGTTTAAAAAAAAACCTGTTCTAAATGGCATAGTATTCACTTGATTGATCCATTCTTATTCTTTGAGTAAATATGTACATAATTTAGGCAGTGTTTAATGATAACTATTACCTAATTACATAATTGTGTAGTAATTAAGGATTTTATTACTAAGGTTTCCTATAGTCACATAATTAGATTGCATGCCAAAGGATAACAGAAAAATTCATTGCCAATGACATAGTAGGTTATTTTCAAACTCATCGGATTTACTTTTGTTCTTTTCAAAAATGATTACAAGGATCTAGTTTGCATTGTACACTAATTTCCTATTACATTCCATTTTGGGGTAATATAATAAACTGGTTTTGACTTGCGATAGTTCTTTATCATTTTAAAGTAAGTGTCCAAAACAGATTAATTTAGGGGTTTTATATAATTTAATTTCTTTTAAAAATAGCTGCATGTTTGATGCATTTAAATCCAAGCAAAGCATTCCATCTGAGATAGCTGATAATCCTGGAAATACAGACATTACCTACATCCACACTGACTAATTTAGATGTGTTCCTATTATGGAAACTTATGATTTGACATGTTATAATATCTTGTGATGTAATACAAACGGATTGGAATATTATCTCTTGTCACCTCTCTTCTGGCACGAATGACGCTATTTTAATGAAGTGTAACTGCTCATATTGTGCTCCATATTTGTTTTCATTGGTCTGTAAGAGGATTCAGTCGTTCTATGAAGTGGATCAAACTTGTTTATTGCAAAGTATCTTTATCCTCTACTTCAGAGGTGGGTGACTCTTTGCTAATTCCCATACAGTAATGTTTTCACCTATCACTGAAATGATACCATCTTTGGGGGAAATTGTTCACAAAGAAATGAATAACTACTTCTTCAAGTAGTATCCCTGTGTGTGCTCCACTTCAGGATGTGCACTTACACGTGCACTCGTGATTGGAGATTGTCTGTGCCCTAGATATCCCTCTGCTCCAGTATGGGGATATTTGGGGGAGCAGAGTCACCACCACTGCAGGTCCTTCTCAACTGCCTGCAGCTTGAGAGAATGTTGTAGAATCTGTTAGCTTGCCAAGCTGTTTGCTATTTCTCTTGCTTATCTTTTCTTACTCTGTTAGTAGTTTATTTTGTTTATTTTTCTGTTATTTAGCACAGTTTGTATTTGGGGGAGTGCTCCTTCCATTCTCGTTTGTTTTTTCTTAGGCCTCAATTCATGGTCTTGAGTAACAGGTTATGCCCATGATCCTGGGCTTCAAGCCCTGCCACACATGCCATAGGTCTTTTTCCCTGCAGCAACAGATGCTTCTGCCTCCGCTGCCTTGGAGAGACTCTCATCCCCTCCAAATGTATCTGCTCAAGATTTAAAAGTAGACCTAAAAATTGAGGGACGACAGGCTAAAACTCCCCTGCCTAGGACCTGCAGGGTCTGAGTCAGACTGCCTTTCCCCCTGCTATATATTGGATTCAGTTACTCAAAGAGCCCTGGCGACCATCACCGCTCCTGCAGTAAACAAACATCTTGGGGACCCCTCAGAACTGCTCAGATCATAAAAAACCAAGAGATTCTGTTCCCCAAAATGGGGTCAAAGAAGGAAAAATTCACCCTGTTGATTCAGCTCTCAGGAGACCTTGCATCCAAACAAGGGTTCTTCTGAGGCCCCTGTCTCCTCTGGTACCAAGACCCTGGTACTGGCTAGGAAAACCACACCACGTACTGAGAAGCCATGTTGTAAACACCAGAGTTGGCACTGGACCCAGCACCTCTGAAACACAATGACTTTAAAGTTAAGCTGAAATCTTCATTGATACTACCTTCCACAGCCATCAGAGAAGAGTGCACAGATAGCACTTCAGTACCATTTCCAGTGCCACCCAGTGCCAGTGCCACCTGACGGTCCTTACTTGGAGTCTCCGGTACCGTCCAGGCTCCTTTTCCACAAGGATCTTTGGATCCTAGAAGAACCTGAGTCGTCATTGCTCAGAGTTACTAAGAGATACTCTCTGCTAGTACCAACTTACCTCCTAGAATTGACCTACCCTACTATCTATAATGGTGACTCATCCTCAGTACTGACGTGGTCACTGGTTCCACACAAACCCATGGAGCATACTGAGAAGAGTTTCTGGCTGGTACAGACATATCCTCCAGTACTGTCTCACCAGCCAACCGAGATTCTACTTCTGGTACTGATGCAGTTACAAGATCCTCTCTGGTCTGCAGTGCCCACTTGATCCCTTGTACCCAGCCACAGGTGCCTATACCGGGGTTGGGAGGTGACTCCAGGGGGACTATAGCCGCCCTACTTTTAAAAGTGGAAGGGCCATGCCTGCCCATTTTTTAACATGGGCAGGCGTGGAGTGGCGGTGGCAGGGGGCTATGCTTCACAGCAGGAGAGCTGATAAAGTGATCCCCAGTCTCTTTCCCAGTAGGGGGCTGAGGTGGGCTTTAGCCCCCCACCACCACGGGCCCCCTTCTCTCTCCTCCTCCCCCTGAGGCCCCACCCCCCGGCCAGGCCATAAGCCAGAGCCATACCATGGTAAAAGCCATCCAGAGAACCCAAGCTGCTGTGGGGAGCCCTGGACCCTCCTTGTGCCTTGGGCAGCGCACCCCAGCTCCCCGTCAAGGGCAAATGGAGGGTCCAGGGCTCCCCACAGCAGTACTGGCTCCCGGGGCAGCTCTTACCACGTCCCAGCTCTGGCTTCCGGCTTGGCCGGGGTTGGGGCCTCAAGGGGAGGAGGAGGAGCAGGGGACAGGGCTCCAGGAGAAGAGGAAGAATGGGGGCTGGGCCACTGTCCCGACGCCAGTGGGGCCCTCTACTTCTATGTAGGTTCCGGCGTCCCTGGTACCAACACCACTTGCCCCTCTGATGGACACAGGGATGACATCTCATCTGATTTTGAGGTGGCCATACAATGCTCCTCTACTTTCCTGGTCCAGCCTGTAAGAAGTGAGTAACAGCATCCCGCGTACACCCGACTTAAGCTTAATTAATTTTCATCTTTATTTATAAATTATAAGTGACAATAATTCTGACAGTTTCTCAACATATATTTATGCCAGACAACAAACAGATAAGACAGAACAGGTAGGGACCCAAGTTACCAAGTTCTGGGGTACTAGGAAGCTCTCCTGCACTTCATGGTCAGTCCCTGTTCTCCGGTCCAGTCCTTCAGTCTCATTCCTTTAGTTTCTGAACTGGCAATCT